TCTTCTAAGAATCTAAATTTTAGGCTATTTAAGTCTTTAATCCATTTTTTAATTGATTATTGTGTATGGTGTAAGGGTTTAATTTCATTGTTTTGTTATGTGACTATCCAGTTTTCCCAACATCATTTATTGATGAGACTTCTTGGAGACCTTGTGGAGATTAGTTGATCATGTATGAGGGTTTATTTGGGGGCTTTTTATTTTGTTCTACTGATCTATATGTCAGCTTTTATACCAAAACTGTAGTTTTGGTTACTTTAGCTCTGTAATATAGTTTGAAATCAGGAAATGTGACCCTCCAAGCTTTATTCCCATTTCTCAATATTGCTTTGACTGTTTGGGGTATTCTGTGGTTCCATGCAAATTTTAGGATTATTTGTTCTATTTCTGTAAAATGCCATTGGAATTTTGGTAGAGACTGCATTGAATCTGTAAATCACTCTGGGGGTAGAATGGACATTTTAACAATATTAATTCTTATAATCCATGAACATGGGCTATCTTTCCATTTATTTGTGTCCTCTTCAATTTCTTTCATCACTGTTTCATAATTTTCAGTAAACAGATCTGCTACCTCTTGGTTAAACTTACTTCTAAGTACTTCATTCTTTTTGATGCTATTATAAATAGAATCATTTTCTTAACTTCTTTTCTTGATACTCTGCTGTTGTTGTTCAGTTGATAGGTTGTGTCTGACTTTTTGCAAGCCCGTGGACTGCAGCACACCAGGTTCCTCTCTCCTCCTCCACTATCTCCCCGAGTTTGCTCAAATTCATGCCCACTGAGTCAGTGATGCTATCCAACCATTTCATTCTCTGCTGCCCCCTTCTCCTTTTGTCTTCAATCTTTCCCATCATCATGGGTCTTTTCCAACGAGTCGGCTCTTCACAACAGGTGGCCAAAGTATTGGAGCTTCAGTTTCAGCATCAGTCCTTCCAATGAATATTCAGGGGTGATTTCCTTTAGGATTGACTGGTTTGATCTCCATGTAGCCCAAAAGACTCTCTAGAGTCTTCTCCAGCACCACAATTTGAAAGCATCAATTACTTGGCACTCGACGTTCTTTACGGTCCCATTCTATTGTCAGTGTACAGAAATGCAACTGTTTTTTTTGTATGCTGATTTTATATCCTACAATCATTTACTAGTTCTAACACTTCTTTTTATTTTATTTCTGGGGGGGGGGGTTTCATTTATTTTTATTAGTTGGAGGCTAGTTACTTTACAATATTGTAGTGGTTTTTGCCATACATTGACATGAATCAGCCATGGATTTACATGTGTTCCCCATCCCGATCCCCCCTCCCGCCTCCCTCCCCATCCGATCCCTCTGGGTCTTCCCAGTGCTCCAGCCCTGAACACTTGTCTCATGCATCCAACCTGGGCAGGTGATCTGTTTCACCCTTGATAGTATACTTGTTTCAATGCTGTTCTCTCAGAACATTCCACCCTTGCCTTCTCCCACAGAGTCCCAAAGTCTATTCTATACATCTGTGTTTCTTTTTCTGTTTTGCATATAGGGTTATTGTTACCATCTTTTAAAATTCCATATATATGCGTTAGTATACTGTATTGGTCTTTATCTCTCTGGCTTACTTCACTCTGTATAATGGTCTCCAGTTTCTTTGGTGGAGTCTTTAAGGTTTTCTCTATATGACATCATGACATGCAAACAGGTTTTACTTCCTCCTTTCCAATGTAGATGTCTTTTATTTCTTTTTCTTGCCTAACTACTCTGGCTAGAACTTCTAGTACTATGTTGCATAGAAATAGTGACAGTGGGCATCCTTGTCACGTTCCTGGTCTTAGAGGAAAAGCCTTCAACCAGTCACCATTATGTATGATGCTAGCTGTGGGTTTGTCATATATGGCCTTTATTATGTTGAGGTACACTCCTTTTATACTTAATTTGTTGAAAGTTTTTATCATGAAAGGATGTTAAAATGGACATATATAAATATAAATGTATAAATGTAAATATATAAGGAAAATATTAACAAAACTAAAGAGAGAGACAGATAGCAATGTAATAATAGCATAATATTAGTATTGACAATAATAATTGCTTTTAACAATGGGTAGTAGAATCATCCAGAAAGAAAACCAATAAACACTGAATTTGAACTGTTTTATATCAAGTGGGCTTAACAGACATATGTAGAACATTTTCATCCAATAGCAGAATATACAGTCTTCTTAGGTAAAAACAATATAATATTCACTAGGACAGATATGTTAGTCCACAAAACAAATCTTAAAAATCTAAGGCTAATGTTACATCAAGTGTATTTTCTGATAACAATGGTTGCTGTAGCTCAGTCACTAAGTCATGTCCGACTCTTTATAATTCCATGGACTGCAGCACACCAGGCTTCCTCATCCCTCACCATCTCCTGGAATTTGCCCAAGGAAAACAACAGTATGAAACTAGAAATCAGTAAGAGGAGGAAAACTGGAAAATTCACAAATCTGTGGAAATTAACACATTCTTGACCAAGCAATCAGTCAAGGAAGAAATCAAAAAGAAAATCAAAATGTATCTTCAGGCAAGCAAAAATGGAAATACAACTTATAAAAAAAATGCAATAAAAGCAGTTCTAAGACTGAAGTTTATAGCAATAAATCCCTATATTAAAAAAGAAAGATCTCAAACCATGTCATGTTACACTTGAAGGAACGAGGAAAAGAACATACTAAGTCCAAAGACAGCAGAGTATGCGTGTGCACTGTTTCCGTCGTGTCTGACTCTGTGCAACCCTGTGGGCCACAGCCCGCCAGGCGCCTCTGTCCACGGGATTCTCCAGGCAAGAGTGCCCGAGTGGGTTGCCATGCGCTTCTCCAGGGGATCTTCCAGACCCAGGGATCGAACCCACATCTCTTATGTCTCCTGCATTGGCAGGCCAGTTCTTTAACGCTAGCACCACCTGGGAAGCCCCAACTTATCAAGAATGAATTACAATGAGACAGACAATCAGAACAGACCAATGAATCAATAACTAAAAACATTCCACCAAAAGCTCAGGACCAGATGGCTTCACTGGTGAATTATACTAAACATTTAAAAAAAAACTAATGCTAATCCTTCTCAGACTCTTTAAAAAAACTGAAGGGAAAGGAACACTTCCAATCTCATTTTACAAGGACAGCATCACCCTGATACTGAAAACAGCCAAGGACACCACAAGAAAAGAAAATCACAGGCCAATATCCCTGATGACTACTGATGCAAAAATTCTCAACAAAACATGTGTGTGCTCAGTTGCACAAACGTGTCCAACTCTTTGTGACCCTATGGATTGTAGCCTGCCAGGTTCCTCTGTCTATGGAATTCTCCAGGCAAGAATACTGGCATGGGTTGCCATTTCTTACTCCAGGGGATCTTCCCGACCAGGGGAAGTATTGGCAGGTGGATTCTTTACCACTGTGCCACCTGGGAAGTCCTCAACAAAGTTATTATGTTGGTGCTAAAGTAATCGTGGTTTTGCATTGTTGAACTTTGCCGTTTGATATTGGAATACGTTCTTAAATAAATGTGGTTATGTTATACATCATTTTAATGTGCATTTCTCACTTCATATTTTTTGCTAATGACTTATTACTTGCTGTTTATGGCAAAAACCACTACAATACTGTAAAGTATTTTATACTTATTTTAGACGATAGAAATGATGCTGGAAAAAAGCAAATTTGAGCAATTTTTTGTTCAAAATGGCTCACAAAGCAGGGCAGAGAACTCGCCACAGCAACACATTTGGCCCAGGAACTGATAAGGAATGGACAGTGCAGCAGTGATGCAAGAAGTCTGCAAAGGAGACGAGAGCCCTGAAGATGAGGAGCGCAGGGGCCCACCATTGGGAGTTGACCATGACCAACTGAGATCCACCACTGAAGCTGACCTTCTCACAACTACACAAGCAGTTGCTGAAGAACTCAACATCGACCATTCTACAGTCATTTGGCATTAAGCAAATCGGGATGGTGAAAAACACGATAAATGGGTGCCTCACGAGCTGACTGAAAATTTAAAAATCGTCATTTTGAAGTGTCATCTTCTCTTATTCTGCACAACAGTGAACCATTTCTTGGTTGGATTGTGACGTGTGACAAAAAGTAGATTTTATACCACAACTAATGATGTGTTTCCCAAAGCCAAACTTGCACCAAAAAAAGGTCATGGTAACTGTGGTCAGCATTTACCATAGTGATCTGCTGCTGGTCTGATCCACTACAGTTTTTTGAATCCTGCTGAAACTATTACGTCTGAGAAGTATGCTCAGCAAATCGAAGAGATGCACCAAACACTGCAATGCCTGCAGCACACACCAGTCAACACAAAGGGCCCAATTCTTCTCCACAACAATGCCCGACTGCATGTTGCACAATCAACACTTCAAAAGTTGAAAGAACTGGGTTATGAAGTTTTGCCTTATCCGCCATGTTCACAGCAGGTGAATATCAACCAACCACCTACCACTTCTTCAAGCATCTCAACAATGTTTTGCAGGCGAAACACTTCCACAGCCAGTAGGAGGCAGAAAATGCATTCCAAGAGTGTCAAATCCCAAAGCATGGATTTTTATACTACAGAAATAAGCTTATTTCTCACTGGTAGAAAAGTATTGATTGTAATGGCTCCTATTTTAATTAATAAAGATGTGTTTGAGCCTAATTATAATGATTTAAAATTCATGGTCCAAAACCACAGTTATTTTTTCCATCAACCTAATATTAGCAAACTGAATTCAACAGTACGTTAAAAAGACTATACACCTTGGGCACCTGGAACTTATCCCAGGGATGCAGGGATGGTTCAACATTCCCAAATCAATCAATATGATATAACACATTAACAAAATGAAAATGAAAAAGTATATGATTATCTCAATAGATGCAGAAAAACCATCTGAAAAAATTTAACATCCTTTTTCTTCACAAAGATCCCAATATGTTGGATGGTAAAATGCCTTCCAAATAATTTTTTAAAAGTGAATTGTATTTCCTTATGAATAATAATACTTTTATTTTCATTTTAAAACTGATATGTGGAAATTTCATCAGAAGACTTAACTGCAGAGATAATATAACACCAAAATAAGAAAAAAAAAATCACTGCACTGGTTTTCCAAATGTAGTAAAGATTTTATCAACTCAATGGCTTTATTTAAGCTTGCCAAATGAACATAAACATTTTTTTTTAAACATAAACATTTTACTGACAAGTTAGAATTTATTTATGACGGGGGGAAATGATATTCATGGAAGTCTATTCTTCTAGTCTAAGGAATGAGAGATTTATTTTAAAGTTATGCAAATAAGCAACAAAGAAATGAAACTTCTAGAAGCAGTAGTGGTCTCAAATTGGCAAAAACAAAACAAACAGAATGTTAAAAATTTAGACAGGAAATCTACATATAAAAAAAACCTATTTCCAAAACTGGGAAATAAGGCTATAGGTCCTACATGACTGCATGAAAAGTGACTAGACATGCGGATGTCCTGAAGAAGGACCTGTAGGAAGTGAATGGGAGACTATATTTCTTTTTGGTACATATTACCAAACGGGATTCTAAAATAAAGTAAGGAGCCTGCACACAGAGCTGTCAGTCAGGCTAAAGCATCAAGTGCAAAGATACAAACTGCACTGCAATTCGTTTAGGGTTTATTTTGTTTTAATGACATCAGCTGAAGGACATGTCTTGTGAGTGCCAGCAAGCACGACTCAAGAGGCTCTCCTGGGTGTGGGTGCAGCCTGGAAGGTGGATTGGCAGTCACAGCAGCTCCAGGCCAAAAGGAGACAGCTGCTAACCTAATCCCTAATCTAGATTATTTTCAATTATCAGAATACCCAGGGGCTGAGATCAGGACAATCTGGGGCTTAAAATTTCAATTCTTAGATTATGTGAAAATTCTTTCATGAAAAGAATGTCTCTGAACTTGGATTCATTTAGAATATTTTTTAACAACAAGAGCCCTTCAGGGCTCACTGATAAAGAGCAACAGATGTCCCACTTGTTAGCGGCATCATAAATTAGGCTTCCTGACACTCAACCACTGCCTCTCTCTACAGTTTGCAGGCTTCCTGTCTGATGCCTAACGTGTGCTGAATCCAGGTGTGTCTTCACAGGCACAGGCTCTGGGCTGGAGCAAATTCTAAATGAAAGGGTGACCCATGCGTCACATGCAATGTCAAGACCATGCAGCCACCTCTCCCACCAAGAGGGTGAGAAGGAAGCTGGTACATCTTTCTCTGTGAAGACATAGTTGGAAACTTTACTTCTGGTTATAATTTATAATTAGTAAATAATTCCTGGAAAATGATATAGCTTATTAGACATCATGTCTTGAAAGATAAAGATCATCTGGGAAATGTCCAAAGTGGGACATAATAAGATTCCAGTTCATTAAAAGAATCAACAGATGCAGACCGGCGTGAAGATGTTAACCATGGCTGTTTGGGGATGTGGAGTCAGGATGACATCTACAAGTAAGCCAACAAAGGGGTTTTAAAGTCAAATGAGGAAGAAGGCTGAAACAGACGCTTTCCCTCTTGATGTGAGTCTGGGTCAGGAACCCCCAGAGAGCCTCTCCTCAGATGGCGTAGCTCTGAAGGACGGTCCAGAGGGTCCAGAGGCTCCACTCTGGTTTGACAGCCAGGCCCTGCGGCTTCTGCTTCTGTGCACACTGCTTCTGGAAGAAGCAAACTTGCCTTGAAACCAAGTTGGGAGGTTTTAACATCTGAATTCCTTTAAAACTTTGGTACTTGATATGAAAGATTTATGTTATAAAGACAGAAGTTTTACTTCAATCTTTATAGAACTGATTAATACTGAAGATGTTAAGTGGTGGACTTACCCAGATGATGACTAATATCTTCTCCACTGGTCAGGCTCATACTGTCTACTTCCTGCACCAAACAGATAACAAAACAAAAAATAAGAATTAAATTTCTCTAAAAATAAAACAGAAAAAAAAGACACATTTCTAAGTACGTACAAAAACAACATCTGAGTTGTATTTGGGCCAGAACTTTATTCTCTTTTTAGCTGTGGCCACCTGTCATTAAAATTTTGTTCCATAATTATGCACTAAAGTAGGAAGCAATTAATTAAGAGGCAGTCCTGTTGGTAGAAGGAAGCACTGTCAGAACTGCTCCCCTCAACTCCAGGGCCACCGCCTGCACGGCGTCTACATGGCCACTGCTGCCAGGGATGTTTGCAAATGGCCCTTCCTGTGCAGATGGCGCCTGGGATGTTCTGCCAAGAGCAGGAGAGCGCGAGGGTGGCTCCCTCTGCAGCAGAGCCCAAGGCTTCCCTATCCCCGCCCTTGGGGCTGCTGCCCACTTTCTGGCATCGCTAGGGTCAGAAAAGAACCATTCTACAAGTAAAACAGGTGATGGCTTTTCACATTTAAAATGTAACACTTCTCCAGCAAAAGGGACGGGCAGCCTTGTCACCTGCACCCCCCAGGAGGGTGACAAGAGAGGGTCACAGCAGTGGCCAGACTGAGGTTTCCAGGCAGCATCTTTGTTATCACAGATGATCAGAGGCAGCTTTACAACAGCCCAGGCCTCCTAGGAATCACCAAGAAGTGAAAATCTGAAGAAATCACAGGCAAATTTGTAGCTACTAACTGTGGAATTTAACACATCATTTCTCACCAACAGCACGTAGAGGTTAAACATTCTCACTTTAGCTGCCGGCTAGCATTTTAAAAGTTTCGAAAGCTTTGATGTTCACCCCTTGGTGAATAGAGGTTCACACCTCTGCTGGTCCCAGGTCCCCACCCCTGTCTCATTGGCTCCCAGCCCAGAAAGGCTCCCAGCCCAAATGGAGCGGCTCACCTCTCATCAGGTCAGGGGGCCTGGGGGCGGCCATGGGAAACCTGCTTGTTAACTCTGTCCTGAAAATAGTGACAACATTCTGCTTGGACTGCTTGAGTATCTCCGAAAAATGCTATAATAGGGGCTCAAAAGTAGATAAAACACAGCAAAAAATGTGCTGGCTAAGTAAAGATGACATAATTCAACCACAGAAAGGAGATAAAAAATGGATTACCTGACCTGAAAAAACATGTTCCTGTTCTAATAAAAGACTTAATGTACACATGTGTGCATATATAAAATATATTCTGTGTGGAAACATACGTGCACTGCAAACATTTTTTGAGCACCTTCCGTATCAGGCAACATGCAAGGACACACAGTCTGCTCGCTTTTATGCGTCCTGTCAGACCTTCCAGTTTCTCGCCCATCCCAACTCCTGAATTCCCAAGTCCGACACCAACGTAGCACTCACCACCTCACTCTGCCTCCAGTCTGAGGCCCCCAGAGAAGTGTTTCAGCTCCAAACCCTCTGGCACCAGCACCCCTGGACTTTGGAGGGGCTCCTGCAGCCCCCACAGAGCAGGGGTTTCCTCAGAGACCACCTAGCAACCGTCTGCCCTGAGCCTGCAGGGAAAGCACCCCAGGGTGGCGACCAGCTCAGGAGCCACCAGCACCCGGCGTCCAGCCTCGCTCGCCGAGCTGATGGTCCCTCAGGAGGTTTGGCACCGAGACCCACGGGGCCCAGAGCTCAGGTCACCAGCAGCGTGGAAGGACAGGGGAGACAGCACATTCCCCCCAGGACCTCTGCTCTGCCAATGTGCTTGATGCCCATGAGCGGGCTGGACGACTCACCAGACACACAGGCCTTGCTGGCATACGTCCTCGAACCCTCTCGTCAGCCCGAAGTGGTGGCGGCCCTGGCCTTGTGCTCCTGCAGGTGACACCTCCTTCCCTTGCCTCCCAGACCTACCCCTTCCCAGAACCTCAGACCCTGCCAGACCGACAGGGAGATCACCAGGCACCAGCTGCCTGCCTGTCCTCTGGTCCAGGCCCAGGGGGACACCAGGCCCTCAGCGCGACCTGCTCACTCTGACTTGCATCACTGACAGCACTCACCTGACCTCAGCCTCCACGGGCCTCGGCCATACACGCAGGACACGGTACATTGGCAGCCCCTGGGGCTCCGCATGGCCAGCCGCTCCCCAAGGGGCCGGCCATCTAGTTACGAGGGCTCCAAGATAAGACCCCTGCTGTCTAGTTACAAGGGCTCTGAGAGAAGACCCCCACCATCTAGTTATGAGGGCTCTCAAGAGAAGACCCCTGCCCAGGGAGCCAGGGCTGACGTGAGGGTCTGCTCTTCCACCCTAAGAAAGTCTGTTTTCTAATTTGCCTGAGGAGAGATTTCCGAGACACCACCATCTGCCAACAGAATCTGAAGAGACTGTTCACTGTAGACCCAAGGAAAACAGTTCCTCCTTCGATGTTAACATGCCCCTGACAGCTCTGCTATCACAGGGAAGTAAGGCGGAAGTCAATATTCACGCCTCTTCTTCCTTGGCCAGCGACCAGAGGAAACTCTGGCCAGGCTGAGGACAAGGGCCTGGGGAGGGCTTGGTGTTGAAGCGACGGCTTCTGGTCACGTGCTCAGTGACGGCAGAAACCACACAGGCCAAGCCCGCAGTCAGTGTGCTCTGTTTCCTTGCTTTACTTTATGATTAAAAAACAGCTTTAACTGAGGTATAATTGACTTTGCTTTTTAACAGGAAAAACTCTAATAGGACAGGTCAATGTAAGAATATTAAGAGAAACTCTAGAATCAATGCAGGAGAAGAGCAACATCAAAAAGGGACGATGGTGACCTGTGGGCCCAGGGTATCAGTCTCTTCCCTCCAAGCGAGAGGTCAGGGAGAGTGGGGGGGGCTGCCTTTGCGGGATCGGAGGCAGCATCTACTTGTCTGGACTCGAGTGAAGTAAGAAAAGAAAGCCTGTAGCATGTACTGTTCTACAGGCTTCAAATTCAAGGCCCACCGGGTCCAAGTCCACCGGCGCAGGCAGCACAAGGCCTGCTCCTGACAGTGTGTCCCCAGGACACGGCCTGCCCCCCACACTCACCCTGCAGGCCCACCGTCCAGCTGCAGAAGAGCAGCAGCGGAGACCTTGGGGCTCGGAGCAGAAGGACCCCAGGGCACCAGGCTGACGCCCATGAGGAGACCCAGGGCGGCGCAGGAGCGGGCTGAGGGGAGGCCCGACAGTGGGCTGCTGGGGTCAGCCACACGTGCCCACAGGCACTGCGGGTCACGGGGGTGCATGCCCCCCGTGGTCACAGCCTTGCCCATCTGTGCCCGTCTTGGCCTGCAGCCTCCCCATGGGGCTTTCTGGAAGCCGGAGCCAAGAAGCGAGGAAAGTGGCTGTTCTCACCCACTCCCGGCCACCACGGGGAGACGGCCAGGCAGGCGCTCTGGGCGGCCCTCCCTCTGCCTGGGACACGGGGGTGCAGGCTCTGGAGAAGGGCCGAGCCGGCCACATCAGGCCAGGCAGCGGAAGACAACTGCGTCTCCACACGCTGCACCGCAGGCTCTAGGCGTGACTGACCACCGCCTCTCCCACGTCTGCCTGGACCCCACAGCAGCCGTGGCCCCGCCCCCACCCGTCTCCTCAGAGCCTGTCTCCTCAGAGCCTGGTAAGGTGCCGGAGGCCGGGGTGAGCCCCGCCTTTCTCCTTCCGGGCCTACACTTCTCCAGGTCCCTCTTTCTCTCAGAAACACCTTCCCTGGACTTCCCTGCTGGTTCAGCAGTTAAGAATCTGCCCGCCTATCCAGGGACGCGAGTTCGACCCCTAGTCTGGGAAGACCCCATGAGCCGCGACCCCTGAGCCTGTGCCCTGGAGCCCGCGCTCCACATCAAGAGAAGCCACGCAGCTCGCCGCAACTAGAGAAAGCCCTCTCTCAGCAATGGTGACCTAATGGAGCCAAAACTAGATAAATAAAATTCAAAACCAAAACGAAAACCACCTTGTCCTGGCTTCCCTGAGGAGGGCCGTCAGTCTTAAAGAGTTACCAGCTGAGATTCTCCACGCACCACTGCCCAACTGGGGGCCGTGTCCCTACACACGTGCGGGTCTGACAGACAGACAATGACCCCCTTCCACCCCCACCCCCATGTCTGAGGGACTTGCCCTCAACTGTGAGTCCACAGCACTGGGGCCCCTCTGATTCCAGGGTGGACACAGACCTGCCGACATGTGGGGGCCCTGTCTGTGGCTTAGTCCAGTTAACCTCAGCCCTTTCTCAACTGGAAATCCCCTCAGACACACTTGGAACCATGGAAAAGCTGGTATTTCCCGACTCTTGGTGACACTGCACTACGTAACTGTTCAGACTACTTGGCTGGCACCGGGGGAGGGAATCCACACTTGCCCTGGACGGTGGCTCCTCAGGTGTGGGCGCCACCGACTGCTCAGCCAGCCCGCCCAGAGGCCTCAGGGGGCACTGGGAGGCGTGACTGGGGAGCAGACGCTGCAGGGGAAGTGGGGTCAAAGGACAGCTGCAGCAACTGTGACTAACTGCGGGGGCTTCTCTCTCCTCCAGGGGTGGGGCCTCATGGAACCCTACTGTGGACCCCAAATATCTGTTAAGTGTGCAGATCCTTCAAGAACCAGCAGAGGAACACAGCCTCACAGGCCACCCGCGGGACCAAGGTCACACCGGGAGTCCTGGGTCACGCCGCCGTGATGACCGGCAGCAGTCACGCACAGCAATGAGAAGCCGGTGCAGGGCATGCATCTCACAGGTTGCAAAAGTAACAGGAAAATTACAGGTGTTTGCATTTGGAAAGGTAAAATTAGAAATCTTAGGTAATTCAAAAGTCTGTGCAGTTTGGCTCTCAAAACTGCAGAGAATCTGAATTTAAATACTGGTATGAGGTTTTTGGTGTATTTAAAGTATAAATTATATACAAAATTCATCCTCATGTTTTAAACCAGGCGTCGGTATCACACGTGTAGGAAAAGACTCACCATGCTTCCCAGGTCACATTCTGAGGCTCCTGGGTTCCTCACAGGACGTAAGGAAATGATGATACTGGCAGAATGCTACTTTCTGTGTTATTTCATTAGAAGGATGTACGTGTACATAGGGGTTTCCCAGGTAGTGCTAGTGGTAGAGAACATATCTGCCAATGTAGGAGACTCGCGTTCCATCCCTGAGCCAGGAAGATCCCCGGGAGGAGGACACGGCAGTCCTCTCCAGTATTCCTGCTGGAGAGTCCCATGGACAGAGGAGCCTGGCAGGCTACAGTCCATGGGGTCACAAAGAGTCAGACACGACTGCAATGACTTAGCACGCACGCAGGCACATGTGTACGTAACCTTCACAGGAGCCATCTTCTCAGTAAATTACGAAACTGGGTCTTGGGCAGCTGAATGAATTGACAGAAGATGAATCAGGTGGCAGGTTAGCGCCCAGCACGGCGACTGCCTCTACACTTGAGCAGGTGGGGCTCCCAGACCTGTGTATTTTCCTGCTCACTTGCTTGCAAACATAAAACCTACTCCCAAGTAGCCACGAGGCAGGCCCAGAACACTGTGGGCCTCTTACCTGGCCCCTGGTCCCTCCAGTGCTGTCTGTGGCCAGCCCGGCTGCACCCGGAGCTTGTCCCGTGGGAGCTGGATCCCGGTCGGCCCCACCGTCCTGTGGGGACACGTGACGGCATGTCAGCAGCTACACGCGCCTGATCCCAGGTGGCAGCTGTTCTTAGGAGTGAGCAAGGTGGCCCTGGCTGGTAGCTTTCAAACTCCCGGCATCCCTTCCATCAGAGGGAAAGCCCATGAAAAACACAGGCTCTGGGGCCGGCTTTAAACCTATGCCCAGGAGAGTCTGTGTTGGTGCCGAGCAGGGTGTTCTGTTAGGTGCCTCCAAGCAGGACCTCCTCGATCAGCTGCCCTGGGCAGTGGACCAGACACTGCTGTGCCCGGAGCCAGAAGCCCAGGTCCGCATTGCTGGCCACCAGCATGCAGGCTCTGGGACATAGTAGGCATGCCTGACGGGGCCGCCCTCTCCCAGTTCTTCATGAACTTCATCAGCACGTACCCTCTCACTCTCACTTCCTTTCCTAAAGTCCTAAACCCTGATGCCCTCTGTTTGTCTCTATTGAAACGCAGCACTAGCAAGTCTAAGTACAAATTTAAATGTGATTTTAAACAGTATCTTGGTGCTTCCTGCTGCTCTATAAAGAAAGGAGGCCGAGCCTACCCAGTACTGGCCCCAGGGTGAACCAGCACTCGGTGGACACAGGCAGGCAGCCCCTCACTGGCCCAGCACTGTGACCCCTGCCCTCCACACACACTCTGACCCGGGCGCTGCCTGGAAGGTACCAGGAGAAGTGTGACTGGCACAGCCCTGTCCAGGAGGAGGAGGCAGCATTTGGTACAGGTGACCGAGGATGCTGGGCTGGGTTCAGGGGGCTGAGTTCTGCCACCAAGAACCTCCATGGTGTTGGTGGGTCACTGGGGCCCAGGGGACTGAACCAAAGAACCTCAGGCTGTTAACACTTTCCTCCATAACTGGGGATAACAAGACAGGCCTGCCCTGGTCTGCCATCTGTATGGACACTTCACCAGAGAGCAGTCACAGTTTCCTATCCCTACCAGGAGACACTGGATGGCAGCTTTAACACACCTGACATCTGAGAGACCACAGGCTGTTTTAGGGCCTTAAACAAAACCTGTCCCACACGTGGTCCTCCTGGGCCCGAGCACCCGACTCTGACATACAGAAAGAGCTTCAGGAGTTCACCTCCCAGCGACCACCATGGCTGAAGCAGGCTGCACCCTGCCGTCTGCATGTCTGTAACCAGCCCGTCCCTGCTCTGCGGACAACTGCACCACTGACGGGAATCCTGGGCCAGGGCTTGCAGGGCACATGCTCTGAGTGATGCTGCCAAGAGATGCGGGGAACAAGTGATCCAGAGAGAACGCTGCCTATTTATTTTGCAAGGAAAAAACTTCCGCTTTGCTCCAGGCGGCAGGAGAAAGGTCACAGACGGCGAGAGGGTGAGGCCAGGGGGGTCTGTCCCACAGGAGCCAGGAGGGGCTAAAGCCGCTGCCCACGGCGCTGACCGGCAGGAGCAGGACGGGACCCTAGGCCTTCCTTACTGACCTCAGGGAGGGCACAACATCTCTCGGAGAGAAACGTGCAAGGCTGGTGTGAGAACCAGGACAATCTGGGGGGAAGGAATTGGGGTAATTCTCTAATTCCATCACTGCAGCACCAGGACTGCTACAGTGACATTTACAGATCCTACCCAAATGAGGACATGGGAACATGTTTAAACTGAACTCATTAACACAAGTTACTGAACAAGATGCCCGACTTCACTGATAACAAAGAAGCACCCAGTGAAGGAGACAAGCTTTTTCATCTATCAAATTAGTGAGAAAAGCAAATATAAGTGATGTCAAGGATGCACCCAATGGACACTCTTAATACTGCTGGTGAAGGTGTGAAGTGACCATGTGCTTTTAGAAAACAAGTTGGCAGCATGAATCTAAAACCTGATTATGTCTGGATCTGTAATTCTGTGAACAATGGAACTCTACTCTAAGGAAACACACACACAAAACCATCATGTGTAAAAAGAGAAAACCAGAAACTTGAGGCGGGGAAGCTATTAGGCGAACGCAACACGTGCAGAGGTGGGGATTCTGTTAAGGGGAGCCTGAGCACCGTGACTACGTGCTGGAAGGCGAGTGCCCTGGAGCAGAGGACACGCACCAAGTACACTCGCAGTGAGACAAACACAGAGAGACGCTGTCAACAGCAAACATCTGTTACCTTCAGGGACAGGTTCAAAGGTTGTTTCGGTTTCAATATAATTAAAACAAAACTTTTTAGTTATGTTCTTTGTATTCTGAGTTCTCCTCATATCATGAGAAAAAATAAACCCAACCTTTGTCAAATAAAGACCCATCAGCCCAGTGGTGCACACTCGAGGGCCGCCTGGAGCAGGCCCTCAGCCTGCACCCTCTGCAGACTCTCTCCAACGGGGCCAGAACCTAACCGCTCAGCAGTGCACGAGCACCTCAGTTCTGCTGCTTCTTCCCGCTGCGCCAGCCGCCCTGAAGCTGCACGCAGGGTGGAGGGGCCAAGACCCACCTGTGTGGTGTGGACGCCAGTGCCGCCTGCTGACGATCGGTCTGCTCTCCTTCCCACAGGCTTTGCACAAAACTGACTTCAGGGTGTGGAATCTGGTGACGTGACACCTCTGCAGACAGACACGATGGCAGAGCAGCGTCAGACACAGCAGGTGCTCAGGAGACGCGGTGACGGGGAGGGCAGCAGTCTGGGGCCGCAGGGCCGTGGGGAGTGAGACTGCGGTGGGCAGCAGTCCCAGAAGCTGGTCCTTGCCTGCATGACCTGACGGTGACAGCGGCGGCACCTCTGTCTGCAGTGAGACAAGTGTCTGCAGAAGGGCCTCAGGTCTGCAGCAGCGTCTACACCCTACCACCGACTGCACCGAGGACACCCCTGCTGGTGACGTTGTCACTTCAGTCCCAGCCAGCTCCAAGACAGCAGGCAGACAGATGCCGCCGACAGTGCAGGGACGGGCGACCTTCCTAGCTGCCTCTGGACGGCTGGGTGCTCGCTCCGCCTGTCGTGGAGTAGTAAGTGTAGCCCCTGACCGTGTGCACTGGCTCCAGACATGAGGCGGGTCTGCGGGGGTGACGTGCAGGCAGTGGCATGAGCCCGGCCTCTGGTTATCTCTCACTGATTCAGTACTAAAGCCACGGTCATGGGACATTCTCGCCAGTACTCTGCTTTTGCTGACTGTACCTAATTTTGGCTGCTTCTAAATTCTGAACACTACACTACTGTGACACCCTGAATTGTCTCTGTGCATGAAACAGTGATGCCAATACATAAACATTTTCTGTCTGACGTGTAAGGTGTGGAGTGCCACCCCGTCACTGACCAGTCAGCTCTCGCCCATCACAGGGTCCCGTGGGTACTGACACTTGTTCCAAATGAGCCAGGCTGTAGCCTGACTTGGAAATCTTCCAGGAACCATGCAGCAACCGTACTTACAGAGCCAGGGTGGTGGCGACCAGCCCCACTAAACTGCCGGCCTTCAGGGAATGACTCAAGGGACACATCAGCACCACGCCAGCTGAATCAGCCCGACACCTGCAGAGCGGGTCTGCAGGAAGTGCACGCTTTTCACTCAAATGGGGAAAAGGAGAAAAGGCGCTCGGAAATATAGAATGTGGAAGACAGTGGGATGCCGTGGCCTGCCTCTACAGAAGCTCGGGGAAGCTCGCGATGCTGGGGGCACAGCCGGACCTGGGCGGCCCCCAGCAGCCTTGCCGATTTCTGGGTCAGTTTCAGAACTCCTCAGTGTGGGTTTCTGGGGTCTGCCCTTGAAGGAGTGACCGAGAGGACAGACAGTGCTGCTGACCCCTGTGACCTCCAGCCAAGGACCCTGAGTTTTCATGATGCATTTTAACAACTGACTTCAAACCTACTAACTTCTCTAATGTGAACAAGACTGTGGACTCACGTTCTGCTCCACGAGCACCTCCGCGGTGTACCCTTTCTCGGACTGCAGGTACTTCTGATGAAACAGCTTCCCATCGAACAGGTGCCAGGGCATGAAGTCGGCCATCTCCCAGGGGGAGCCACAAGCACCGTTGACCAACACCAAGGTGGTGAGACCACGCACCAGGAGGGTGGCCAGCTGCACAGCTCTGGGGTCAATGTGGTCAAGCTGCAGAGGCAAGACGCAGGGAGGTGAGGAGGCAGCCTTCACATGGGGAACCAGAACTCTCCCCAGCGTGGCTGGTGGCTCAGGCACTGCGCCCACAAGGTCAGGACCACCTCTCCACACAGACGCCCTCGGGGCAGCAAAGCTCCATCCTGCCAGGAAGGTGACAGGATCGCAGCTTCAGGCCCACCGGGAAAATTTCTTTAAAAGCAAAGGCAGGAACTTCCCTGGTGGTACAGAGGCCGCCTGCCAATGCAGGGAACGTGGGTTCGATTCCTGGTCAAGGAGAGTCCACATGCTGCGGAACAACTCAGCCCGAGCCCCTCACCATGAATGAAGAAAACCTGTGCGTAGCAATGAAGACCCAGCACTGCCAAAAATAAACACAAAAAGATAGCAAACTTTGCAAGGGGAAAATAAAAAAAAGGAAAGGCGGAGAGGCCAAGACAGAGTCATTCTGGATACTGATGAGTCAAGAGTTCTAATCACGAGCATTACTATAAAAATTTCACATAAATGTCTGTCATTTAAGAACAAAATGGCTTATTATTGAACAGGGTTGATGGGCTGGTTCAGTTCAGTCACTCAGTCGTGTCCGACTCTGCGACCACATGGACTGCAGCACGCCAGGCCTCCCTGTCCATCACCAATTCCCGGAGTTTACTCAAACTCATGACCATTGAGTCAGTGATGCCATCCAACAATCTCATCCTCTGTTGTCCCCTTCTCCTCTTGCCTTCAATCATTCCCAACATCAGGGTCTTTTCTAATGAGTCAGTTCTTTGCATCAGGTGGTCAAAGTACTGGAGTTTCAGCTTCAGCATCAGTCCTTCCAATCAATATTCAAGACTGATCTCCTTTAGCATGGACTGGTTGGATCTCCTTGCAGTCCAAGGGACTCTCAAGAGTCTTCTCCAACACCACAGTTCAAAAGCATCAATTCTTCAGTGCTCAGCTTTCTTTATAGTCCAACTCTCATAAACATACATGAATACTGGGAAAACCACAGCTTTGACTAGATTGATCTTTGTTGGCAAAGATGGGCTGGTACCTCTTACAAATTAACATCACACCCATACAAAATTTTTATTTTGTTGTCAAACCTCCTTCCTGTTCTTGGACACTGTGGGGGCTCCATACAGTAAGAAGCTGCAGAGACATCCTTCGCCTCAGCCACTCGTGTTTTTGACATTTGTGGCCTGTGCTGACCATAAACAGTGGACTGACCACAAGCAAGTGTCCACAGGGTTTTGTTAATACAGGAAGTTCCACTCAGTCTGTCAGCATCAGGTGGATCTACGTTGCGCAAAATAAATAGCAGTGATTTTCAACATCACATAGCTCACAAAACTGAAATAAACCAGGAAAAGGACTGACGTTTCATCCCTTTTCTAAGTCGTGTTTCATTTCCCTATTGAAAGAAACGTGGTTGTGACGTTGGATTGGGGTTGCACCAGGCTACCAAGCCCTCGCTGCCATCAGCACTCTGCCCCCACCACCTACTTCCAGCCACGGGGTCCCGCCCTGTGTGCCCACACATGGCACTGTCCGGCTCGAAAGGCACCGCCCAGGCCAGCAGTAGGGCCCCAGGTGGGGCTTGAATTGAAGTGCAGTAAGCTTAACTGCACCGTTTCGCAGATGCCCCAGCCATTTCAAGTGTTCAGAGGCCTGCCTGACCCTGCAGGATGGTTGTGGTCTCGGGCCCCTCTCTCTCCACCGACTTCAGCCCCTGCAGTGCCCGGCCCTGAGGCGGCACCGTGGGCCCCAGGTCAGCGCACCCACCAAGGCTGCTCAAGGTCTGCTGAACCAATGCAGACATTACGTACTTACTGAGGGCTGGGGGCAATTCTCCCATGAAGCAGGCTTTCCTGTAAGAGAGTCAATTTCTTCATTTCTTATACACTTCTCTGTCACTTTTAAAGTAAATTTTAATAGAAGTACACCACCTCCCAAAGCAGAGATCCTCTGCAGACCATATGAATTTTCAAACAAACCAGGTGACAAGCACCTGGGCCACAAAGCAAGTGTCATCAGCACCGCAGAAGCCCCCAGTATCCCCACAGCCTGAAGGTGGTGCTACGATGACTCAAGTGTGGACGGGCCTGCTCACCAGCGAGTGACGAACGAACTACAACACGCGCAGGCTCGGGCTTCTCTGGGCTGAAACTGGGGTTTCTCTGGCTGTTCACCCTCTGCGCTGTTACCCACCACTGTGTGCAGGGCTGGGGTTTCTCTGGTTGTTCACCCTCTGCGCTGTTACACACCACTGTGTGCAGGGCTGGGGTTTCTCTGGTTGTTCACCCTCAGCGCTGTTACACACCAGTGTATGCAGGGCTGGGGTTTCTACACTGTTCACCCTCTGCACTGTTATATCCTGCTGCATGCAGTGCTGGCTGGGGCACTCTTAGCGTGTAATCACTCTGGAGACAGTACCACCTTTCAACAGGCAGCCTGTTCTCACACAGAAGTGCATTCTATCAACACAGCTTTATGGCTCTCAGAGTGGGATTCTGTCCAACTGCTGCTTTTCCTAAATGTTTCACATTTTTCCTTGTATGTTAAGTGTAAACACAGCAAATGTGGTGGTTAGCTTTACTTGTTTCTGTTTTTGTAGAATATACTTGAATTATGCATGTCGACTCTGCACCATCTCCTGATAAATCTGTGTAGTGAGTCTAATTGTTGCTCTGTAGATTTGGATTCCCATAAACACAATCACACCACCTGTCAATAATGACAGTTTTATCTATTCTTTCAGTGTAAGGCAAGTTGGTGAAAGCAGGCACCCCTGACTCACGCACACCATAGTGGAAAAACTTGCACTATTTTACTGTGAAGTCTGATTTCTGTTGCAGACACTCCTTCTTAGATTAAGAAAACTCTCTGCCAGTCCTAGTCTGCTGAGACTGTTCACCACAAACAATAACTGAATTCAACCAATACTTTCTCTACAACATGCGTGGTGCTAATGAAGGCAATCACACTGGTTTTCAAATGTTAAACTAAGCCTGTATTTGAAAAATAAACACTTGATTGTGTCAAAAGAGCAAAATGAAAATATGAGGCTTGAGGGCCTCTTCCAGCAACTGGGAGAGTCACACAGCAGCTCTTCCCGAAAGAACCAGGATTTGGGGACAAGTCAGTGTGGCAGAAGGCTGGCCCTCAATCCCGAGTCAGTCTCTGGTAAGCATGGGCTAACTCCATGTGGCTAAGGTAAGGCTTCACCAATAAAATGATAAGAGGATGTGACCCACCTTTTGGAAATAGGAGTTAAGCATGTCTTCATGCTTTGGAATGAAGACAGGGAGGAGCTGATTCCTGAGCACTTCCTGTTGAGGTGATGGACATAGAAACCAGAAAAGCCAGTTCTACTGCTGCAAAGCCTCAGGGTGAATACTGAACAGTAAACACTCCACTGTGTGGTGTTTATCACAACTGGGGCTCATTTTGTATACACTGAAACTGAAGCCCCTAAGTCAGCCATTTCAGGCATTGCTTCACCAGAGCGACTATCTCAAAAGCAGGTGGAAACCCAGGCAGGGAGAGGACAGTACTGCAGACATTGGACCACTCACCAGAAAACAAAACAAGAGCAAACTCTTGAGTTTTCCTGGTCTGAAAGGCCGGCTAGACTTTGGAGGTTCTACACCGAAGTTCTCTGTGGCTGTGGTTGGGCACAACTGTCCCACACAAGCCCGAGGAGGCCTGAACCTCACCAGGCAGGCTCATGAGGAGCAGCGGCTGCTCCCAGCCCTCTGCCACAGCTTCTGAGGGCAGAAGCCACCCATCCACCGAGCTCCTCCCCTGGAGGTTTCCCATGTTGTACCTGTCCCTTCTCCTTATACTTTTCATTCCCCAAAGAAAGCTTTTATTTGCTGAAGGACACTGTCTGGCACATGCCCACCTGTGTGAGTCACACTCAGACCCTCAGACACTCTGTCTTCAACAGCGGGCACATGGGCTAGAAAATACTGCTGGCTTGAACCAAAGACTAGTATTCTCCTGGAGCCCAGCAGCTCCCCAACTTAGACTTTCAAACCTCCCATCCCTGTCCGGGGCCGCCCCCTGCCAGGAAACAGGATGTGACGCAGTGAGAAAGCGGTGTGCACAGCAGGAGGAGGCGGCCTGGAAGCCGTGGGGCCAGTGGCAGGTGTCTGAACTCCAGTCACACAGCCATGGCCTAGCACGCATCCTCAGGACAGGGAGAGCTGTGGGCCAACAGGCAGGTGTGTGAACACGCAGGAGATAGGCTCATCTGCGTGACACGTGACGAGTGTGTAGGGGAGGAAGACATGAACCATCAGAGCAGAGCCTGTGTCTGTGCCGAGGACCTGGACATGATGTGGTGGGCCCAGGATAACTATGTAATTGTGAGTGAAGAGTAACTCGTCCACATCTGTCTGACACACGAGCCTCTGAGAAAACGGTGGGGCAAATGTGTCAGCCAGGTCACTGCAGGAGGAGTGCCCACACAGTGGGTACTTTAAAAATAGCTGTTGGGTTCACATGTAAGTAAGTGACATATGAAGGCTGTGTGGGGAAACCCTGTCTGATTCTGTCTCAGAGGGAAAAAGAAATCAGATCGAGGTTTGGCTTAGCAAAGAACCCAGCAGGAACGCATCCAGAAATCTCTTCTTCCTCACAAGGCACCGGGGTAGGGCTGGGTGTGGTGAACATGGCACCTCCATGAAGGACAGGCGCTGCCATGAGAACGCTGAGGCCTGGGCAGGCGAGTGCCTGTTACGCGGCTCCTGCCCCCAGAGAGCAAAATAAAAACCAGCTCTCCTCTGCGCGGTCCGTTCCCATCCAAGGTCACTTTTATGCTTCACCTTTAACCCAGGTAAACGCAAACTGTGTTGAGATACACTTCTAGAATTTAAATGGATACCTGCGAGGAACAAAAGGTGGAGAGGGTAAAATGAAGTAAGAGACACACTGGCAAGGGCTGCCTGTCCTAAGACTGGGCTGGCGGCTGCACCCTGAAAGATCACTAAAATACCACAGTCCCAGCAGACACAACTGCAAGTTTTCTGAACTCACCATACGCAGCAACAAAATCTCCCCCCAGCCAAAGTCAGTGGCTGTCTCAGGCGAGCTGGGTCTACCAGGACTGACAGGCCTCCCAACCGTAACTGTCTTATCTGCAGCCTGATGGTGCAGGACACTGAGGAGGCAGCTTCTGAACACACATGACTTCCAACTTAGTCCTGACCCATGTCTGAGGTTCAGAATGGAGGACTCTGGATAATAAACAAGAAAAACAACTTCTACTGGAGTGTCTGCCCGCTTATAGAAAGAACCCAGGAACACAGGAAAGAAGAGAGCATGCAGCTTGGCCTGAGGTCGAGTGTCTTCCTCATGAAAAATGACATGAAAGAGGAAATAACTTGGGAGCAGTAGAGCCCATGCATGTCCTGCAGCGTGAAGCCTGCCCTCTTAACCATCTCCTCAGCCCAGCTCTGACTCAGTCACCTGAACACACAGCGTCCTAGGGCTTCAGAGCGGGACTGACCTTCTCCATCACCTCATCCCAGGCAGCTCTTCCAGCCTCACATGCCCCTGTCAGAAGGAAGGGAGACCTAGGGCCATGACCACCATGAGACCTACCATTAGGTTTACAAGTAGAGAGTTGCAGAAAGGATCCAGGATTCAAAGGATGGCAAAAGGCAAATCTTTACAAGAAACACAGTAAGATCAAACCTGAACCACTAACCATAATCCCACCCTTCTCCCCTCTCTGTAGTCACCTAAGACTTGGTCCCCATCAATAAACACATGGGGACAGGAGAAGGTAAAATCGTCAAGTTCTGACCTCTGAGTTTCAAAAGCCTCACCACTGGGAGAACCTGAGATACCTCAGACCTACCCCAGGTGTGAAGAGTCTGAGCAAAGGGCAGGGGCAGGAGCACATGGAGCTCCGAGCTCAGAACAGTAAGTCCAGGCAGCCAGCGAGCTCTGCCTCCAGCCCTGGAGCTGAGAAGAGGCTCTGCATGTGGGCTGGGAGCAGGCATTCCACAGGGGCGGGGGCTGGGCAACAGGCTCCCCCAAGCACAGCGAGTAGGGCATGGTGTCTTGGGATGCCCAGCCGCCCAACCCAGGACACATACCACAACCTACAGGAGAGTGTTTGTAAAAGAAACAAGTGAGGATACCTCAAGCTAAAATGCTCCTGCAGATTAAAAGATACAAAAAAAAAAAAAAGATACGAACTACTATGTACAAAAATAAATAGGCTACAAGGATATATTGTACAACACAGGGAATAAAGCCAATATTTTACAGTAACTATAAAAGCTATAAATGGAGTATAACCTTTAAAATTGTGAATCACTATGGTGTATACCTGTAACTTACATAATATTGTACATCAACTATACCTCATAAAAATGGAAAGGAGAAAAGGAAAAAAAGGCTTCTGCACAGCAAAGGAAACCATCAACAAAATGAGAAGAAAATGCACTGAATGGTAGAAATTATTTGCAAAACATCTGTCCTTATCAAGGGGTAAATACTCAAAATACATAAATAACTCATACAACTCAATAACCAAAAAACCGAACAATCTGATTTAAATTGAGCAGAAGACCTGAATAGACCTTGTTCCAAAGAAAACATATAGATGGTCAACAAGCAAATGAAAAGATGTTCAACACTGCTAATCATCAGAGAAATGCAGATCAAAACCACAGTGAGCTATCACCTCAGATCTGTTAGAATCACCATCATCAAAACGACAAGAAATAACAAATGTTGGAGAGAATGTGGAGAAAAGGGAAGCCTTATGCACTGTTGGTGGGAATATAAATTGGTGAGGTCACCGTGGAAAATAGTATGGAGGCTCTTAAAAATTAAAATAAGAAATACTATATGATCCAGTAATTCCACTCCTAGGATTTATCTGCAAAAATTGAAAATACTACCTCAAGGAGATATGCACTCCCATGTTCACTGCAGCACTATTTACAACAGCCAAGACAAGCAGGAAAACCTAAGTGTCCATCAATGGGTGCAATGGATAAAGAAATTAGCATGTGCATGTACACAGGTGTGTGCATGTGCACACGCGCGCACGCACACACACACACACACGACAGAATATTACTCAGCCATAAAAAAAATGAAACCTTGTCATTCGTGACTACATGAATTGAGGGCATGATGCTATGGGAAATAAGTCAGAGAAAGACAAATGACACACTTTCACTTCTATATGGAATTTGAAAACAAAACAAAAAACAAACAAAAAAAACACAAACTCACAGATACAAAGAAGAGAGTGGCGGTTGCCAGAGGGAGGGGTAGGAGGTGGGCCAAATGGGTCAAGGGGATCAGAAGGCAACCTTTCCAGTTACAAAGTGAGTGAATCATGGAACCTTTCCTGTGAAACAACCAAATTTACAGAACGCTGGCAAGTATGCCGCCCCTGTGGTCAGGCAGGCCATCCCCAGGGTGTTGACAGTCAGTACCTGCAAGTCTGCAAGCTCCACGGTGGGCTTTCCTTGGAGGCACAGGGCCTGCGCAATGAAGGCATGCAAATCCTCCAGACAGAGAGTGTCCACCTGCATGGAGAGAGAGCCAGCATCAGCCCTGGAGAACACAGGCACAAACACATACGCGCACGCGCGCTTGGCAGCAAAGTGCACACACACACACACACCAGGGCTGCATGTGCACATGTACAAATGCACGCACACATACATGTGCATACACGCTCAGAGCAGCAAAGCACACACACTACACAATGTGTGCACATGTATACACACACAGACGCGTGTACACACCCAGAACAGCAAAGTGCGCACAGAGAGCTGCATGTGTGTATGTACAAATGCACAGACACACACGTGCATACACGCTAGAGCAGCAAAGCACACACACCAATGTGTGCACATGCACACACACACACACACACGTACACCCAGGGCTCACACAGAGGACAGTGCATGCACATGTACACACAAACACATACATGTGTACACGCTCAGGGTAGCAATGTGCACAAAGGACAGCATGTGCACACATACAAACACACACACACATATCCATGCACACATACACATACATATATGCATGATCAGGGCAGCAAAGTGCACACACACACAGGACAGCACATGTACACACACACACACACAATTATACACACAGATACATGCACATGTGCACATGCTCAGGGCAGTAAAGTGCACACATATACACACACAGGACAGCATGTACCCATGTGCACACAAACATGCACACTCAGGGTGGCAAAGCACACACACACGCTCTGGACAGCACATGGGTGCACACACATACATGTGCACATGCTGAGAGCAGCAAAGCAAACACACCTCCCTGGGGCAGCAAGGCACACACACACTCTCACATGAGCAGCCGAGCACACACACACACACACACACACACACACACACACACACTCACACCCAGGGCAGAAGAGACCTCTCTTCCATGTGCACGCACGCCCAGCCTAGGGTCACAGTGGGGCACACATACTCGTGTGTACACGCATGCTCACACACACTCTCACATGAGCAGCCGAGCACACACACACACACACACACACACACACACACACACACTCACACCCAGGGCAGAAGAGACATCCCTGAAGGTAGGCGGGGTCTTTTCTCCCCTCATCCACAGCCCCTGGTGTATAAATCTTCATGTCAACCAGAGCCAGGCTGGGAAGCAGAGCCTGGTGCTCATGAGCAAGGCAGAATGCTCCAAAACGCCTATGGGAAGCCTGAGCTATGGTCAAATCTGAGCCTTGGAGCAACGTAGGTCAAGTGTTAACACAAATTTCCAGAGACGACAATTGCGGGGTTTGCAGACAGAAAGCACCCACAGCTAGCCTGAGCTAGGGTGATCAGAGCTGGGACAAACACCCACCCTTGCAAGCCCAACTGTGTCTTTGGATCCCCATTTAAAAGAAACCAGGATTCCCCAAATATGCATCTCCTCCCATCCTTTGTGGAATCAAAAAGTCCAACCAAAGTGTGACTAAGAAGCAAGGAGAGACAGAGACACAGAGAGAAAGAGCCTAGGTGGGTGACGCCGGGTCCCAGCAGCACCTCCATGCCCTCCTCACAGGGTCGGGGCTCAGCCACCAAATGCTGCACTGGTCCTGTCATCATCCATCTCCACCTTTATTCCAAAGTAGTTGTTGCCTTTGTATAAATGAAGCTATAATTATGTCACAGAAAAAGCAAGAAATCTACAAATGCGCAGCACTCATGACCAAGAAAAAAGATCTCAACCTACAAAAGCAAGACCAAGCAGAGAATATTTTGTTTTAAACTCATAAGCCCTCACCTCTCTCTTAGACAGGTTTGTTGGCATACAGTTAGTTCTACTTCTTGCCATTAGCATCTTTTGCAGAAAGCTGAGTTTAAAAAACCAGCCTACAAAAAAAGAATCACTATTGGACTTCCCTGGGGATCCAGTGGTTAAGACTCTGTGCTACCACTGCAGGGGACATGGATTTGATCCCTGGTCGGGGAACTAAGATCCCGCATGCCAACAATGCAGCCAAAAAATAAAAAAAAGTAACATTTCATCATACTTTTTCAGTTTATCGATTTCATACTCTTCCACCATCTTTGTAATTAGCAAATATACGCTTACTCCTTGGCAGGAAAGTTATGACCAACCTAGACAGCATATTAAAAGGCAGAGACATTACTTTGCCAATAAAGGTCCATCTAGTCAAAGCTATGGTTTTTCCAGTAGTCATGTATGGATGTGAGAATTGGACTACAAAGAAAGCTGAGTGCCAAAGGACTGATGCTTTGGAACTGTGGTGTTGGAGAAGACTCCTGAGAGTCCGTTGGACAGCAGGGAGATCCAACCAGTCCATCCTAAAGGATATCAGTCCTGAGTGTTCATTGGAATGTTGAAGCTGAAACTCCAATACTTTGGCCACCTGATGTGAAGAGCTGACTCATTTGGAAAGACCCTGATGCTGGGAACGATTGAAGGCAAGAGGAGAAGGGGGTGACAGAAGATGAGATGGTTGGATGGCATCACCGACTCAATGGACATGAGTTTGGGTAAACTCCAGCAGTTGGTGATGAACAGGAAGTCCTGATGTGCTGCAGGCCATGGGGTCGCAAAGAGTCGGACATGACTGAACAACTGAACTGAACTGAACTGATAACAGACGAGACAAGATTCTTAATAATACCAATTTTTTAAAACTTCACATAGTGGAGATTATTGTGATAAAGTATTTGCTCTACCATAATTATAAAAAATATGCAAACTTTCTATGATGCAATACCCTTCCAGAAAAGTTTCTCAAATAAGCCTCTAATAAAAAATGTTAACTTGGAGGTTGGACTCCAAGTGAAAAACGAGTTAACCAAGCTAAGACTCAAAAAGTTAACAAATGAGGGTTTTGTTTCTTTGCACGCTTTGTACACTAAACAGTATGCATTAATCCTCTGTGGCACCTAATTTAAGCTTAACTATACAAAAGTATACTATTTTAGCCTTATTAATCTAAAGAGAGAATAGTTATCCTTATGAATAACAACACAGTACAGTACCTTTTAATCTAAGGGATAACACTGATGCATTGACTTGTTTTCTACTTTAAAAGTTCCAATTTGAATGTATCCTTTAAAGTCAACCAACAATGAGTCTATCTTTTGCTGACTTATACTAAAAAGATGTCATTTAAAAGGTATTTACTAGTAGTAAGAAGGTAAAAGTGGAAATTTTCCTTCTGATACTTGTCTAGCCTCAGGTTTATATAAATACGTGAGATGTAAAGTGACTATTCTGTGATTTGGGATATTTTCCCGCTGGAAGTGGACTGTCATAGCCAATGGTCACTTGCACAGATGACAAGAAAGCAGAGCTGTGTCAAGTGACGACGAATGGGCTCAAGGACCTATCTCTCCCGCTGGAAAAAGAAATGCAAGACGTAGTCCTAAGAGTGCTAACACAAGGCTCTCCAAGGATCCATCCATATCCCTATATTCACACACAGTCCTGAGAAGAAAACCGCTTATTCTCCTAGAGGAGAAAACTCAGCTGCTCGTCATTGACCAGCTCCCAACTCCCAATATGTCCACCTTAGACGCCTGCAGATTCATAAACAAGGGAAAGAAAGCATTACCTGATAATACATGTATGCACATTTAGTAAAAGTAGCAAAAGAAATGTATTTTTCATTTAAACATTAAATAATCCTGCTACCATTTACTGATTTATACTTTGCTGAGTTTGGTGCAAATAAAGCAAAGTTCTACTGAAAACAAAAGTTCGTCCTGGTGCATGTGAAACCAGTGAGGAGACAGTAAAATTAAAACTCACTAAGGGTGGCTTAACTACACCATGTTTGTGGTGACCACCATCCAAACAGGGACACAGGACAGTCCACGCTCTACAAAGCTGGGCAATTGTGAGAAAGTGCACCAGGGCCTGGACCTGTCAGACACCTCAAGCTTCTTTCATAGGTAGGTGTAGAGCCCACTTCTACGCTGGCAGCTGACAGGGCTCCTCAAATGTACAGCCACACAGAACCCTCACTTTTTGTGAAACAGACACTGGGCAGAGATGGGGCAGGGGACCAACCCTCACACCTCACCCCAGACCACCACACCCCCTAAAAGGTGAGGGCCAGGAGCAAGGGGTGACTGCAGCAGCAACAGCCAGGAGTGAGGTTACCTGCACAAACAGGTAGACCAGGAGGCAGCACAGTGCTTGAAAGGGGCTCTCAACTGCCTGCAGTTCTTCTCGCGAGGATGAAAGGTCAAAGCAGGCCAGGAGTGTGTCCAAGCGCTGGGCCTGGATTCCTGGCTCTTGGCTCAGCCACAGTTGTCTCAAATTAGGTGTTCCCCCTAGTTTAAAAAAAAAAGTCCATTTACCATTATTCTTTGTACTAACAAGTTATAACACGCTTCTCAGAAACAAAGTAAAGAAATAAAGGGCACTGACCTCTTTCCTGGCTGACTTCTTTGGGCTTTCACACTTAAAGCAACTGGAAAGTAAACATTAACAGAACTTCCTGGTTTAAACAAGCAGAAATCCTAAAAGGTCAGCATATATGTATTTCATTGAAAACATTCCTCTTTCTTTAAACGGCTATACTGTGCGGGAAAGGGAGGGTTTTCTCCTGCTGTGCTCAGCTGTGCTGTCCAAGGGAGTGAGACAGACACAGCTGTGATGGGGTGCTTGGTGAAAACACCACTGGTCTACTCAGGTAGTTGGCTCTCTTATTTTCCTGGACTAATGGTTTTCAAAGCACACTGTGCAAAAGAAACAGCTGCCAAAATTGTGTAAGATACATTTTCCTGGGTTTTATATGCAGAAATTATGAATGAATGATTTTCACATTTCGAAATAGTCAAAAACAGCTAAATGAAAATATTTCATAGTATGAGAAAATTGCATGACTCTGCCAGAAAGGATCAAGGGTGGCACCCACACTTGACCCAGAGTCCCGTGGGCAGCTGAGATTTCATCTGTAGGTCCCAAATGCATTGTTCCTGAAACATAACAGCTTCAAAAGTCAAATTATGTCACTTGGCAAAGGCTTCTGTGTGAATTCACGGACAGGAAAGTCTCAGAGCTTCTCAGAAATGAGCAAGCTCCAGAGTGCTGCCCAGAGAAACAGGGAAGGAGGTAATTTCTGTGAATGACAACTTGTTTCATTTTATAAAACAATCGTCTAAGAGGATCTGCAAGGTGCTGGTGAGTCACGTCTTTATACAGTGAAGAAATACTAAGCTTACTCTCAGATTCTTCAATGCTTTAAAAATCATTCCAGATGGACAAACTACCAGTTAGATGTGTGCAAGCAGCTTTCCTAGGTTTATAAAATAAGGATAGGCTTAAAATGACCAAAATGAGGCTCTGTGAAGACAGAAAAAATCAACTACATGCTGCCTAAAGAAGAATCTCCAGTTTTGGAGATAAAAACCTATGTCAGACGCTTGCCTGCTGTGTGGTCCGAGACTTGCAGCACAAAACGCAGCATGTTAGTAAGGGAGGCAGCTGAGGATGACGCACAGACGCAGGGACCCTGTAAGGGGCAGGTCGGGGGAAAGGAAGCTAAATTTCAAGGTACACCCTTCCGAAGGCCTGTGGAAGGCAAGGATCAAGCAGCAGGAATCCACTGCTCTTAACATACATGTTGTCAGGGTGATGGAAAACCATGAGATAGGCACCTGGATGATCCAGCTTCCAAATGAGTCTAAAAACCACCTGGCATTTTTCCTCATGGACATAGAGATGATTTATATGTAAAAATCCTATCATTTTCTATCGTTATTAACATAAGTGTGAACAGAGCCATTCATCTGAATCACCTGCAACACAAGTTCAAGACCCCACTTCCAAGGTCCTAGTGATGGCTGACGCGTGCCCGCCCTCTGCCGGTGGGTAGGGCTCCCGCTGCTTCTGGAAGCACAGGCCCTGTATGCTGAGCTCAGCAGTGCCAGCAGCCCGTGTCACAAGCCTCAGAAGCAGCCTCTCCAACAACTGAGTGAACTTCAGAGTTTATTAAAACCTTATATCGAGTGGCCTCTAAAATTAATTCATGATATAATAATGAAAGGCCAAATATGGGAAGTGATTTTGGGTATTCTTTAAAAGTACTTCTTGCTGTAAAATGTGTCAATTCATCTTAAATTGTTTTCGTGATAAGTACCTTTAGGTCTGAAATACTGAAATACTAATATTTAGGGTTAAGTATATATCACTTACCAACTGAGAGAAAAAGGAAATACTCCCTCAACTTCTCTCCTTGTACAATTCCACTTATAATGTTTCTTATTTGGTAAATTATAGGCTTGAGTGACAGAACACAATAGTGACTTGAGAGAATTTAAAGCATATAAAAATGGAACATAAATATTTTGGAGAAGTATTTGTTTTGTGAAACAATAAGAAAGGCCACTAAAATAAACCTTAAACTCTGTCCTCTCTTCAAGTGTCTGTGTGCAGAACACTGTCTCCTACAGACAAACATGCTTGACCTTCAGATACTAAGAACTCACAGGAAGAATTTACTTCAACTAATTTTTAGGAGAACTCTGTTTTCTCCCCTCCCACTATGTGTTTTAAGATATGGTCCTTGAAAAAAACTTATTTTTACAGTTAAACACTTTCCTTCACCTCCTCTTCCCAGTTCATCAAGCCCACTTTCAATCGTGGGCTTGAATCTAGATTATTCTTGTCGTGAAGCAAGACAAGAATCGACCCAAGCAGAGCAGCAAGAATCCAACTGTGCTAATTCACAGCTGCTTACTCAGGGGTCCAGGTTTCCTTCTCCCCCTGACGTGACCTTGGGCAGCAGGCAGGGGAGTGAGGCAGGGTGATTCAGCAGACTGGGCCTGGGGAGGTCTGTATAATGCCCTTTCCTCTGCTGTACTAGAACTTCATTATGTACACTGCTCCTGGACCCATGGTAGAAATGAAAATCAGTGTGTGTGCAGTGCTGGAAAAGTATGTTTCCACAGAGATCATTACTGCATCATGTGGTGAACAACTCTGACATTTAATCAAGGAAGTCTGTACCTGGAATGTTCATCTGCAGAGGCCTGACGAGGTCCGGCTGCCTCAGTGGGTTCCCGGAGTACACAAACCACTCCTTGACAGCGGGGCCAGTGCTGAAACCACCTGAGTAAAGACAGCTGCATCAGTGGACGTGCGTACCAATCCATCACCGACACTGAACGAGAACCCCTCAGCCAGACCGATTCCACGCTGGAGAGCCCAGTGAGTTCTCACATCAAAGGTCACCGAGGGGCCTCGGGCATCCACCAGTGGGTCTCTACCCTCTGATCGGATGGTCACCCATCCATTCCCACCAGAACGATGACCTTGGGTGGGGGGTGGCAGGACAACCTGGGTAGGTGATCACTGGGGGCAGAGGTGACCTCTTGATCACCACCGAGACGGCTCCTGTAGCATCCTGCTTTCCTTCCCCACCACCCTCATGCCGTTCCAGAGAACATTTAAGGAGCAGGAATATGACAGTCCTTTCTGCTTTTAAATTCACTACTTTACACAACTATTAAAACTAGTGTTATGTCAGACAAATCAGAAAGCTGGTAGGAATAATCTAGAATAAAGGCACTTCTGTCTATTGCTAGGTTACTAACTGCTACGGAAGTTCAGGCGGCCCAGTCAGCTGCAGTGCTCCACTCAGCCGCACACTCACCGTGCCCTTCCTCACCTCTGCGTTTGGCCACGCTCTGCTCTGCTCCCGCTCCCCTCCACCACTCCCCCAGCCCACCGCAGATGCCCACCTCCTGTGCCCACACTTGGCGAGCCCCCTTTCCTCCCTCTCAGCAAAATCTCCCATGCTCCCCAAACACTGCAGCTCACTCAGCCAGCACTCTGGCTGGAGTCCCAAAAAACTGAGCTCCCTAGAGCAAAAACCATTCTCCATAAAACACAAGGCCCAGAGCAAATGCTCATTAACTGCAGGTTTAGGAGCAAGTTCATCTTAGCCTAAATTTCATACACACAGAAATAATTTAAAAAAAGAAAGAAGATCTGAGTATTCTTAATGTTGTTAAAAATAAAACAACCCAATTTCTATGTAACCCTCTTGGCCAAGGTTTTTATTGCATTAAAAAATAGCCAACTGAGTGAATGCTGCCCTGCTCATGCCAAGAGACAAATGTTACTAGGTTCTGTACTCCTACTCAACCACTGCTATTAAGGGACCTAGCCTGCCAAGTGACTCCTTGGGAATCACTAAAACATTCACAAAACCACATCTGACATTGCATGCAAGTGACCACCTTTTATCTAAGACTGTTCACAGCATAGAGGTTCAGAGGCAATGTCTCAGAGTTTTAACTCTAAGTGACACACACAAGAGAGAGAGGCTCAGGGTGGGCACCGGAGCCTAAATACACCCAACAGTCCTCCTAGCTCTCCGCTGTCAGGACCGAGGGAAGCAGTTTTTGGACCAATATTCCAAGAGACACACAACATCATCTCAGTTCAATTCAGTCGCTCAGTCATGTCTGACTCCTTGCGACCCCATGGACTACAGCACCCCAGGCCTCCCTGTCCATCACCAATTCCCAAAGCTTGCTCAAACTCATGTCCATTGAGTCCGTGATGCCATCCAACCATCTCATCCTCTGTCGTCCCCTTCTCCTCCTGCCCTCAATCTTTCCCAGCATCAGTACTCCCAATGAATATTCAGGACTGATTTCCTTTAGGATTAACTGGTTTGATCTCCTTGAAGTCCAAGGAACCCTCGAGAGTCTTTTCCAACACCACAGTTCAAAAGCATCAATTCTTCAGCGCTCAGCTTCCTGTATGGTCCAACTCTCACATCAATACATAACTACTACAAAAACCATAGTTTTGACTAGACAGATCTTTGTCAGCTAAGCAATGTCTCTGCTTTTTATTATGCTGTCTAGGTTGGTCATAGCTTTTCTTCCAATAAAAAAGTGTTTTTGATTTCATGGCTGCAGTCACCATCTGCAGTGATTTTGGAGCAAAAGAAAATAAAGTCTGTCACTGTTTCCATTGTTCCCCCATCTATTTGCCAGGAAGTGATGGGACTGGATGCCATGATTTTCGTTTTTTGAATGCTGAGTTTTAAGCCAGCTTTTTCACTCCCCTCTTTCACTTTCATCAAGAGACTCTTTAGTTCCTCTTCACTTTCTGTGACAAGGGTGGTGTCATCTGTACATCTGAGGTTATTGATATTTCTCCCAGCAATCTGATTCCAGCTTGTGCTTCATCCAGTCCAGCATTTCTCATGACGTATTCTGCATATAAGTTAAATAAGCAAGGTGACAATATACAACCATGACGTACTCCTTTCCCAATTTTGAATCAGCCCTTTGTTCCATGCCCAGTTCTAACAGTTGCTTCTTGACCTGCATACAGACTTCTCAGGAGGCAGGTAAGGTGGTACAGTATTCCCATCTCTCTAAGAATTTTGCACAGGTTGTTGTGATCCAAACAGCTAAAGGTTTTAGCATAGTCAATGAAGAAGAGGTAGATGTTTTTCTGGAATTCTCTTGCTTTTTCTATGATCCAATGGATGCTGGCAATTTGATCTCTGGTTCCTCTGCCATTTCTAAATCCAGCTTGAACATCTGGAAGTTCTCGGTTAACATAATATTGAAGCCTCGCTTGGAGAATTTTGAGCATTACTTTGCTAGCATGTGAGATAACTGTGTGGTAGTTTGAATGTCCTTTGGCATTTGGGATAGGAATGAAAACTGACCTTTTCCAGTCCTGTGGCCACTGCTGGGTTTTCCAAATTTGCTGGCATATTGAGTGCAGCCCTTTCACAGAATCATCTTTTAGGACTTGAATAGCTCAGTTGGAATTCCATCACCTCCACTACCTTTGTTTGTAGTGATGTTTCCTAAGGCCCACTTGACTTCACACTCCAGGATGTCTGGCTCGAGGTGAGTAATCACACCATCATGGTTATCTGGGTCATTAAGATCTGTTTTTGTATAGTTCAGTGTATTCTTGCCACCTCTTCTTAATATCTTCTGCTTCTGTTAGGTCCATACCATTTCTGTCCTTTATTGTGCCCATCTTTGCATGAAATGTTCCCTTGGTATCTCTAGGTTTCTTGACGAGATCTCTAGTCTTTCCCATTCTATTATTTTTCTCTATTTCTTTGCATTGACCACTTAGGAAGGCTTTTTACCTCTCCTTGCTATTCTTTGGAACTCAGCATTCAGATGGATTTATCTTTCCCTTTTCTCCTTTGCCTTTCACTTCTCTTCTTTTCTTAGCTATCTGTACGGCCTCCACGTACAACCATTTTGCCTTTATGCATTTTTTCTTCTTGGGGATGGTTTTGATCACCGCCTCCTGTACAATGTTACAAACCTCTGTCCACAGTTCTTCAGACACTCTATCTATCAGACCTAATCCCTTGAATTTATTTGCTACTTCCTCTGTATAATCATAAGGGATTTGATTTAGGTCATACTTGAAATGGTCTAGTGGTTTTCCCTACTTTCTTCAATTTAAGCCTGAATTTGGCAATAAGGAGCTCATGATCTGAGCCATAGTCAGCTCCTGTTCTTGTTTTTGCTGACTGTGTAGAGCTTCTCCATCTTCCTCTGCAAAGAACATAAACAATCAGATTTCAGTGTTGACAATCTTGTGCTGTCCATGTGTACAGTTGTATCTTGTGTTGTTGGAAGAGGGTGTTTGCTCTGACCAGTGCGTTCTCTTGGGAAAACTCTATTAGCCTTTGCTCTGCTTCATTTTGTACCCCAAGGCCAAACTTGCCCATTACTCCAGGTATCTCTTGACTCCCTACTTTTGCATTCCAGTCCCCTATGATGAAAAGGACATCTTTTTTTGGTGTTAGTTCTAGAAGGTATTGTAGGTCTTCACAGAACCATTCAACTTCAGCTTCTTTGACATTAGTGATTGGGGCATAGACTTGGATTACTGTGATATTGAATGATTTGCCTTGGAAACGAACAGAGATTATTCTGTCGTTTTTGAGACTGCCCCTAAGTACTGAGTTTTGGACTCTTGTTGACTATGAGGGCTACTTCATTTCTTCTAAGGGATTCTTGCCCACAGTAGTAGATATAATGGTCATCTGAATGAAATTCGCCCATTCTGGTCCATTTTAGTTCACCGATTCCTAAAATGTTGATGTTCACTCTGGCCATCTCCTGTTTGACCACTTCCAATTTACCTTGATTCCCGGACCTAACATTCCAGGTTCCTATGAAGTATTGTTCTCTACGACTTTGGGGTTGGTACTTCTATCACCAGTCACATCCACAACTGGGCACTGTTTTTGCTTTGGCTCAGCCTCTTCATTCTTTCTGGATTTATTTCTCCACTCTTCTCCAGTTGCATATCAGGCACCTACTGACCAGTGGAGTTTATCTTTCAGTGTCAAATCTTTTTGCCTTTTCATGGGGTTCTCAAGGCAAGAATACTGAAGTGGTTTGCCATTCCCTTCTCTGGTGGACTACATTTACTCAGAACTCTCCACCATGACCCGTCCATCTTGGGTGGCCCTACATGGCATGGCTCATAGTTCCACTGAGTTAGGCAAGGCACCTCAGCATTATCTGCCCAGCTACAATCCAGGAGGACGGCGCTGCCCGTGGAGATGAGTCCAACAGGAGCGGCAGGCCTAGCAGAGAAAATAGGCTCAAAACCAGCACCAACACCAGGACCTCTTCTCTCAAAATTTAGACCAGCACATAAGCCTGATCCCCTCCTTCCTCACTGTGCAGACCAGCGCTGACACCAAACTCCCTCTTTTCTCCATAACTTGGACAACAGAGGGTTTATTTTCTTGGGCTCCAAAATCACTGCAGATGGTGACTGCAGTCATGAAATTAAAAGACATTCGCTCCTTGGAAGGAAAGTTATGACCAACTAGACAGCATATTAAAAAGCAGAGACATTACTTTGCCAACAAAGGTCTGTCTAATCAAAGCTATGGTTTTTCCAGTGGTCATGCATGGGTGTGAGAGTTGGACCATAAAGGAAGTTGAGTATGGAAGAATTGATGCTTTTGAACTGTGGTGTTGAAAAAGACTCTTGAGAGTCCCTTGGACTGCAGGAAGATCCAACCAGTCCATCCTAAAGGAGATCAGTTCTGAATATTCATTGGAAGGACTGATGCTGAAGCTGAAACT